CTTCACACGAGTTTTCAAGTGTATATATATATATATAATAGTTATCTATGTTTCGTAATATAGCTAGGTAGCGTAATCAAACAATTTTTTTCAGTGAAAAATACTTAAAATAATTATTTAAAGAACAACAGTTAAAAGTATTCAGCATAAACAAGTGTATATATATATATATATATATATATATATATATATATATATATATATATATATATATACACATACATACACCTGGAGACACTCAAATCAGAGTGGTTCGATTCCACCATGGCGGTGGTGAAAGTGGTTAGAGTGCTGTTCAAATGTAAGCGACACAAAGATGTTTTGAAAGAAATTATTATGCATAATTAGTTAGTTTTTATAAAATTATGGATAGCAATGATTACTCTATCTAAATTTCTTTTCGATATTTTGTGTTTTAATTTGCTAATTATTAAAAATTAAAAATTAAAATTTAGTTTGTATTTAATACCCTTCTGAAAATACCTTTCTCCCTAATATACTTATCTTTTTGAATTTGAGCGAATAATTTTCCAGACAATTGATGGTCAAATATTTTTTTATGTGTGGCAAATCTACATCATTAATTACAACTTAATGCCGCAAACAATGCATGCACATGTTTAAATACAGCCCTTTGTTATTATATATTCTAAAATTTACAGGATTCAAAATATTTTGGTTGGCTGGTGTTTGGGATTCCTGGAGCTTTCTAGACTTATCTTCGGTAGAACGATATATAAACAGGTGACAATATGATGAATTGTCGAGTATAATTGAAAAATTACTAAACTAAAGTATTCTGCGGTCTCTAAATATTATTATTAGGAGCATACATTTTTTTTTCCTGGATTGCGGATTTTCCGGGATTATCAATAGATTTTAAGAAATGCAGTTCAATTTAACTATAGGCAAATGAAAAAATCAATAAACCCCTGGACAACCCATGATGTGGACATTGTGAATTCCTCATTACTGAAAGAGGAATACCCAAAATGTGTTCCGCAGCATCCTGTAGTGCCGTGTAGGTAGATGAGGGACATCGCGAGGCTTGGTTTGGTTTGTAGCTGTATGTTCATTTTTGTGCACGCTTTAGGCCAGTCAGACAGCGACCTACAGTTTAACGCGGATTCCAAACCACTCACAAACATCCATGCCCTCACCACGATTCGAACTTGAAACAACAAAGTTCAGAGAGCAATCCAATTGGCAATCAGATTTCTATATCATAAAGTTTTAAGAAGAGAAAACTTCATACGAGTTTTCAGGTGTAGATATATAAATAGAATAGGGGTATAGGTTTTGTAATATATCTTGGTAGCGAATTCAAACAATTTATGAGTAAACAATACTTATTATAATTATTTAAAAGACAATAGTTGAGAAGTATTCAGCATAAACAAATGTAGTACGAAAAAAGGTAATAAAAGGTTCCAAATAAATTTAAGCGAACATTGTTTTAAAATAGATTAAAAGGATGACACATATATGTTAATCACACAACATGTGTTCAACATAATCATGTCTCCCACGCCCAGAAGGTGGAATCGAATCACTCTGATACTCATCAGCTGCGGGTTTGAAGCCCGCACACCAGATCACTGGCACTCATCTGGGCGACACTAGAGTTTTATTATCTGGTATTTATACTGACATTTTTGAAGCAAGTATTAAAAGTGGTAGAGTAATTTCATTTACAGTTTCATATACAGTTTAATTACAGACCGGGATTGTTCAACGCGGATTCAGCAAACATACATGCCACAACCAGGATTTGAACCTAAAGCGCTAAACGCCAGAGCCTTGTAGAATTGGCCATCAGGCGATGCGTTTATCATAACTTTTATGAAAAGAAAAACTGCACACGAGTTTTCAGGTGTATATATATATATGTGTATTTGGTATGTGCATGTATGGAGTTTTCGAGACATCAGATGTTTTCTTTTTGCAGGGAAGGATTTTCAGCCGCAGGCCTTACACTCTACTGTAATATTAGACAGGGACCTATGGTATAGAGACGATTCCGAGCATTGCAAACATTGCTAAAACCATCAGGGTTTTACCTGAAACCTATGGCACTTAACAAAGAGAGTTAGTCGATTACATTTTATCACCATATCTTTTTATTTGTAAAGTGTCATGTACTGAGATTTCATGACCTAGGATTTGAACTTAAAGCACAAACGATTTGACCATTTCAATTTGACATATGTCAAAAATATCAGAACTCTTAAGGAAGTGAAAAATTTTAGACGAGTTTTGAGGTGTATATATATATATATATATATATATATATATATATATACAGAGACAGAGAGAGAGATTAGAGGTCGATGTTTCGTAATACATCTTGGTATCGAAATCTAACAAACTTTATGGGTGGAAAATAATTATTAAAATTTTTATAGGACAATAGTTAAAAATTATTCAGCATAAACAAGTGTACTACGAAGAAAAGTAATAAAAGGTTCCAAATGAATTTAAGCGAGCATTGTTTCAATATAGATTAAAAGAAGGCAGGCAGAGATGTTAAACACACAACATGTGTTCAACATCACCATGACTCCCTCGTCCAGAAGGTGGAATCGAACCACTAAAATATCTAAATAACGTTTTAAATATTGTTTTGGTCATGTATATTAAAGCATATTTAAATTTCTAGTACATGGCACATTACAAATGATACAATAGGTTTCTGGTGCGAGACCCATCAATGCCTTGGATGTTTTAATGATTGGGAATCCGCTTAAATTCGTAGATCCCGATCTAAATGCAAACGTCACTATGTAAAACGAAACATCTTCTTTCTCGAAATCTACCTGTATGCAGACGGCCTTGGCCCCCTTTGGATGTTACGTCAACGAAGAGGAAGATAAAAGGTAATCGCTACCCAACAAAGAGAAGTAAAGAAATCTAAAACCATTATTTACATTTTTAATGATCCTATTAATTTGTAGTTCTTTATTATTTCCTTACCATAATGGTATTAAAAATAAAAAATTTCCATTATTTTTACAAAAATTAAATTAATTATTATTATTTTATGTATTTAAAGGACAATTGTTAAAAAGCATTCAGTGTAAAAGAACAAGTGTATATTCAGTACATAAAAAAGTATTCAGTATAAACAAGTGTACAACGAAGAAAATTAATAAAAGGATCCAAATGAATTTTAGCGAGCATTATCACAAAGTAGATTAAAAAGAGAGCGCATGGTAACTCAACACATAACATGTGTTTAATATCAACATGTCTCTCTCTCCCAGAAGGTGGAATCGAACCACTCTGATTCTCACCAGCTACGGGTTTAAACCCCGCACACCAGACCACTGGCACTCATCTGAGCTACACTAGATGTTGCTTGTGCGATATATATACGTGTATTTTCTAGCATGTGTTAAAAGTGGTAGATTTAACTCCCTGCAGGAATCTCCATTTGTAGTGGATGCCATTACTGGCATTTCTTTCTTGAGTCATTTCCTGTGTTAAGATAAAATGTGCTATAAGATGCTAGGTTAGAATTCATGGTGCCGAAAACAAACAACAATTAGAATTGTAAAATGTTTTAATTTGCATATTGAACAAATCTCATGCCCCTTCTGAAAATACCTTTCTTTCCTATTACGCCCATCTTTTACAATTTGGTCGATTTAGGCGCTTGCCAACTTTCCACGCAATTGGTGCTCACATTGTTTCTCATGTGTGACATTTCTAAATCTTTTCCTGCATTTTAATGCCACAAACAATGTTTGCACATTTTAATTTGATCCTTTTTAAATGCATATTTTCAAATTTACAGGATCTAAAATATTTTGGTAGGTTGGCGTTTGATTCCTGGAGCTTTCTAGCCTCCAATGACCTCATTTCTGGTTGAACGAGGTATAAACAGTTGACTAGGAGGTTAATTGCGCAGTATAAATGAAAAAAAAAAATACAGAATTAAAAAATATTTTGCTGTCTTTAAATATTATTATTAGGAAATTAAATTTCAACTTCTTGGATTGCGATATTAATTATAGTATTATATTATGCGTATTAATTATGGTATTAGATTGCGGCTTAAGGAAGTCTTTAAGCACTGACAATAGCTAAAAAGTATTCAGCATAAACAAATGTGTGCGTGTGTAGTACGTACAAAAGTAATAAAAGGTTCCAAATAAAATTAAGCGAACATTGTATCAAAATAGATTAAAAGGAACTCATGGGATTGAAACACATAACATGTGTTCAATATAACATGACTCCTTTGTCCAGACATGAACCTCCTTTGTGAAACGAAGGATAAGAATGGAAAGGATTAAGGTATGTACTGATATATTGACACTGGAACTTTTAATTCGGTTTTTCTTGTTAATTTTGGAACGAATTTTCCAGTTCGAGGAATTGTGAATATTCCCGGTGTTCTCCGGTGTTTTAATGAATCAGGCCACCTCTTACGAAAGGAGTTAACAAATTTAAGAAAGACGTGGCCCGCTCAGGAGAACTAGTATTCTATGAAATCACCCTAGTCATCTATATTCCTGTGGAATATTATTATCATATATATATGCGCGATAAACTGTAGGGGATTTTACCCTGTTTAAAACGTTAGAAAAGAAATTTACGAAACGAATTACTTCTACAATACTTGAAAAAATGGGGTGGAGTATCATTATTTGTAGCCTCCGAAGTTTTCAATTTTTTTTGTATGAGCACTTTGCATGCTTTGTAAATGTGGCGGTAATAACTTGGCATTTTGCAATTTTTTACCAGTATGTAAACTTTATAAAATTAATTAAATTTAAAAAAAATAAACTCTCCCCCCATTTGTTGCAAGAATAAAGATATTTCCGTACCTGCCGGTTTAATAATTACTGCTTATTAATTAGTTAATATTTAGAGCGTGAAATGACTCAAAAAGAAATGCGAATAAAAGTATCAACTTGTAAGAAGTTTAATCTGCCACTTTTAATACTTGCTTCAGAAATGCCAGTATAAATACCAGATAACAAACTCCTGATGTTACCCAGATGTACACCAGTGATCTGGTGTGTGGCCTTCAAACCCGTAGCTGATAACAATCGGAGTGGTTCGATTCCACCTTCTGCGCTAGGGAGTCATGGTGACTTTGAACGGATATTATTTGGTTCAAAGGACTGTGATTGCCTTTTAAGTTATCCTGAAACAATGCTGGCTTAAATTCATTTCGAACATTTTATTCCTTATCTTGGTAGTACACTTAATTATATTAAGAATTTTTTACCTCAAATAATTATTTGATTTACCTACCCAGATATATTACAAAACAAAAAAATTTAAATGCAATGATTGGGCCTTTAATGCCCTTTTAGAATATCGGCACTTTGTACTTAATTTTATTACTGTAGGACTATTGAATATCTATTGGCAGCTACGCAGAAGACTTAAATTTACTAACGGGTTTGAAAGAATGCTTTTCTATATTTGTACAGCAAATGTCAGGAATAAATTAATGTGGGTGACAATCTGAAATATTTATCAGTTTTCACCTCCTTTACCTGAGACGTGGGATGAGAACGTTAAGGATAATGTATGTACTGATCTATAGACACTGAACATTCCCTTGAGTTCCTAGGGAATTCCCGATTTTACGACATTACGATTTAACAAATTTATGAAAGACGTGGCCCTCGTAGGAGAACTAGTATTCGATAAAGGCAGCCTAGTCATCTACATTCCTGTGTTATATTATTATTATATATATATGCAGAATAAACTGTAAGGGGATTTTATCCCGTTTAAAACGTTACAAAAGAAATTTACGAAATGAATTACTTCTACGATACTTTGAAAAAATGGTTTAGAGTGTCATCATTTGTGGCCTCCGAAGTTTTCAATTTTTTTTTTTTTTATATGTGCGTTTTGCATGATTTGGAAGTGTAGGGGTAACTTGATTATGCTAAATACTTTTTAACTATAGTCAATAATTATAATAAGTATTTTTCACTCAAGTAAATAATTGTTTATTTTTCGCTACCAAGATATATTAGAAAACATAGATAATTATTATATATATACGAAAACTCGTGTGATGGTTTTCTCTTCAAAAACGATACCGGATGGCCCAATTGGACAGCGGTCTGGCGTTTGGTGGTTTAGGTTTAAATCATGGTGGTGGCATGTCAGTTTGTCAGTAATTCGGAATCCACTTTAAACTGTAGGTTCCGGTCTGATTAGCCTAAAGTGTTCACAAAAATGACCATAGAGCGACAAACCAAACCAAGCATCGCGATATCCTCATCTAGTTACACGTTACTACAGGATGCTGCGACACTCAGTTTTTTGGGTATTCTTGCCATGAGGGATACCCAAGGCACACCACTGTCTGGTAATGGGGCTTTTTATATTTTTTCTAACCAAATGACATTGTTGCCAGTAATGACATCAAATGCAAATGATGATACTTCCTGGTAATTTAATCTACCATTTTTACCAAGTTGACAGTTAAATAGTCTACATCTTTCTTTTAAATAATTTTAAAAGAGTGCTACCTTAAACCAATTGAGGTTACTCATTCTTTGGTTGTTAAGTGGCCTATAGTAATATATATGCTTGCCTATGAGAGTGTGTATGTATTCTCCACTCTAAAACAAAGGACCCTTAATTACACAAAAGAAAGTTCCAAATCGGGGACCAAAGTACTAAAGGCATCTATAAGTTTAAAAGCTAGTATCAAATTGAATTCATTAATTTTTTAAAGTCAACAATTGTGCTTTAACGTTCTTTTGGAATATTGGGCACTTTATACTAAATTTAATTATTATCGGATAATTTTATTATTATTGTCAGTTACTGATATGACTCAAATTTATTAATAGTTTGGAAGGAAAGTGTTTGTATTTTTGTACATTAATTTTAAAAATAAACTCATATGGAAGACAATCTGAAGTATGCATTTGCATAGTTTTTACCTGAAACGGAGGATAAGTACGTAACGGATTAGTTATGTACGGATATATGGACACTGGAATTTTCAATTCGGTTCGAACGAATTTTTCAGTTCGATAACTGACATTTTTAATACATAATATTTTAAATTTTAGCAAATAAACATGTTTATTACCTCTGTAACTTGATTTTTAAGTATGATCTTCTGAAGTATGTACTTGCACAGTTTTCACCTCGTTTACCTGAAACGGAGGATAAAACGTAAAGCATAATGTATGTACGGATATATGGAATTTTCAATTCGGTTTATCTTTTTCAACTTTCGAACGAATTTTCCGATGAAATGTGAATATTTCCTAGTGTTAATAGGAATTCCCCAGGATTTTTAATGGATCAGGTCAGCTCTTACGACAGGAGTTAACAAATTTATAAAAAAAGTGGCTGATTTGGAGAATTTGTATTCTATCTATGAACCCTAGTCATCTATCTGTCTGTGGCATATTATTATTGTATATACAGTAGAATCTCTTAAATCGAACCTCGATAAGTCGAAAAACCTCCAGAAGCTCGAAACAATTTTAGGTTCCTTCCCTTCAAGCCCCAAAAGCTCCATGACTCGAAATTCCAACCCTCTATATGTCGAAATAATGAGTCAATCCCCACAAGCCATTTTGGTATATATTTTTGCTCCGTAACTCGAAAAAAACATTCGACCTCTGTATCTCGAACGTTAACAATATTTAATTTTACAATATTTTTTACAACCTTTACAACTCGATCATTTGAGACTGTTTACCTCTATAGCTCGAAAAAAAATTACCGACAATGCACGTTATTGTTTCATAGAAAACGATGTATGAGTATACAGTAAATAGAATAACCAATTCTATGAAATAGCAACTCGGTAGAAAAAGAATTTACTGCTCTTTATAACTTAGATAATGCTATAGATAGAGAACGATCGAATTGTCTAAAGCAAAAAAAAATAATAAATAAATAATAATTATTATTATTTATTTATTATTAATTGAATTATTATTAAATTGACTTTTTGATTTTTTAATACATAATATTTTTAATTTTTGCAAACAAATATGTTTATTACCTCTGTAACTTGAATTTTTATTTATTTTACTTGTCTAACACAAAATGAGACGCAATTGTAAACACAGAATCTAAACCTCTACAAGTCCAATAATTCCTTACAAAATCCGCGTAAGTCGAAAACTCTGTAACTCGAATTATTTGGCGTCTCCCTTGAAGTTCGACTTACCGAAGTTCTACTGTATATGCAGGATAAATTGTAGGAGATTTCATGCTGTTTAAAACATTGCATCAGAGAATAAATTTATGCAATGAATTGTTTCTACTTTACTTCTAAAAAATTAAGTAGAGTGTCCTCGTTTGAAGACTCCGAAGTTTTTGATATTTTTTTGTGCGTGCGTTTTGCATGATTTGGAATTGTGCTGTAATAACTTGGTATTTTGCAATTTTATACCATTATATAAACTTTAAACAATTAATTAAATTTAAAAAATAAACTTTTACCCCATTTGTCGCAAGAAAAAAATTATTTCCGTACATGCCGACTGTGTAATTAATGCTTATTAATTATGTAATAGCGTGATATGACTCAAGAAAGAAATAAAGGGTATCAACTTGTAAGAAGTTTAATCTACCACATTTAATACTTGCTGCATACATGCCAATATAAATATCAGTCAACCAACTTCTAGTGTTGCCCAGATGAGCGCCAGTGGTCTGGTGTGCGGCCTTCAATCCCGTAGCTGATAAGATTATGAGTGGTTCGATTTCCCCCTTCCAGGCGTGAAAGACGTGGGTAGTGTGGACATGAAGTTCACAGGTGCATTCTATCCGTCTTTCTTTTAAGTAATGTTAAAGGAACGCTGCCTTAAACCGATTGAGATTACCACATCCTCACGTTGTTAACTGGCCCATAGTAATTGTTTGTACTCTTGCCAATGAGATTGTATACGCAATCTCCACTTTAAAACAAAGACTCGTTCTTACATAAACATAAGTTTGAAATCTGTGACTCACAATGAAAAGAACAAAAGGCCTCTGTAAGTCAAATAAATAAAAAGCCAATACCAAATTGAATTTTTAAATACCATATTTGTGCCATTAATTTTCTTTTTGGAATATCGGGACATTGTACAACATTTAATTACAATCGGACTATTTAATATATATTGGCAGCTACAGATAAGACTCAAATTTACTAATGGGATTGAATTAATGCTTTTCTATCTGTGCACAGCAATGTTAGGAATGAACTTTTACGGGCGATAATCTATAGTATTTGAACAGTTTTTACTTCCTTTACCTGAAACGGGGATAAGAACGTAAGGGATAATGTATGTACGAATATATCGTCACTGGTACTTTTAATTCGGTTTTTCCAATTAAAGGAAGTGTGAATAGTGTTTCTAGCGAATTCTCCGCTGTTTAATTTATCAGGTCACCTCTTACGACAAGAGTTAACAAATTTATGAAAGACGTGGGCGCTTAGGAGAACTAGTATTCTATCAAAACACCCTAGTCATCTATCTGTCTATGGTATATTATTATCATATATATATATATATGCAGGATAAGCTACAGGATTTTATCCTGTTTAAGACATTAGAAAAGAAATTTACGAAATGAATTATTTCTACGATACTTCGAAAAATGGGGTAGAGTATCATCATTTGTAGCCTCTGAAGTTTTCAATTTTTTATTGTGTGTGTGTTTTGAATGATTTGGGTGTGTCGGGGTAATAGCTTGGTATTTTGCAATTTAGAACCAGTATATAAACTAAAAAAAATTAATTAAATTTAAAAAAATAAATATTTCCTACCTGCCGATTGAATAATTAATGCTTATTAATTAATTAATATTTAGAGCGTGAAATGACTCCAGAAAGAAATGCGAATAAAGGCATCAACTTGTAAGAAGTCTAATCTACCAATTTTAATACTTGCTGCATAAATATCAGCATAAATACCAGACAGCCAACTTCTAGCTGATGAGAGTCAGAGTGGTCCGATTCCACCTTCTGGGCGTGAAAGACATGGGTAATGTGGACATGAAATTCATAGGTGCATGCTACCTGTCTTTCTTTTAAGTAACTTTAGAAGAACGCTGCCTTAAACCAATTGAGATTGCTACATTATCTCGTTGTTAACTACCATATAGTAATTTTTTATACTCTTGCCTATGAGATTGTTTATGTAATTTCTACTCTGAAACAAAGAACCTTTTTTACATAAAACCTAAATTTGAAATCTGTGACTCACAAAGAAAAGGACCAAAGACATCTGTAAGTGAAACAAACTTTGAAATTTGTATCAAATTGAATTCACTAAATTTTTAAGTACCATAATTGCGCCATTAATTTTCTTTTGGAATATCTGCACTTTATACTATATTTAATTGTCGGTTTATTTAATATCTATTGGCACCAATGGTGTTGAAGAAATTCGTTTGTATTTTTGCACAGAAATTTTAAATAAACTTATGTGGGTGACAATTTGAAGTATTTTCAAAGTTTTCACCTGCTTTACCTGAAACGGAGGATAAGAAAGTAAGGGATAACACATGTACGGATATATTGGCACTGGAACGTTTAATTCTGTTTCTCTTGTTAACTTTCGAACGAATTTTACTAATTCAAGGAAGTGTGAATATTCCCTAGTGTTCCTAGCGAATTCCCCGGTTTAATTGATCAGGTCATCCCATACGAAAGGAGTTAACACATTTATGAAAGATGTGGCCCGCTTACAAGAACTAGTATTCCAACAAGGCACCCTGGTCATCTATCTTCCTGTGGTATATTATTACATATATATATATCTATATATATATATATATATATATATGTAGAATAAACTGTAGAAGACTTCATCCTGTTTAAAGCAATGCTTTAGAGAATAAATTTATGCAATGAATTGTTTCTACGATACTAAAATGAGGTAGAGTGTCATCGTTTGCAGCCTCCAAAGTTTTCCATTTTTCTTTGTGTGCGTTTTGCTCGCTTTGGAATTACTGGATGATAAGTCGATAGTTTACAGTTTATTTTTGAATAAGAAAATGAAATTAAAAAATAAGAAATAAACTGTTTCCCTTCAACCCCGAGCACTTTTTCATGCTTTTACCAAACATGCCAGTCTATGTTTCCGTACTTACCGAGTCAATATTTATAGCGTATCGTTGCATGCAAATGAATGCGAAAATATAAATTGCAACTGTAAAGGAATAAATGAACCTAATTGTAAATGAACGAATGCGAACCAGTCAAGAAAGAAATACAAACATTGGCCTCAACTGCATATGGGGGATATTTGCAGGTAGTTTAATCTACCACTTTTAATACTTGCTCCATATATACCAATATAAATAGCAGGCAACAAGCTTCTAGTGTCGCCCTGAAGAGTACCAGTGGTCTGGTGTGCGGGCTTCAAACCCGCAGCTGATTAGTATCAGAGTGGTTCGATTCCACCTTCTGGGCTAGGGAATCATGGTTGTGATAAACGGATGTTATACGTTTTCCAGGCCTGTGATTACCTTTTAAGTTATTTTGAAACAATGCTCGCTTAATTTCATTTCAAACATTTTATTACTCATCTCTGCAGTACACTTAATTATATTAATTATTTTTGTCTTAAAAATATTGTTTGATTTAGCTACCAAGATAAATTACAAAACATTTTTTAAATGCAATGATTGGGCCTTTAATGCTCTTTTGGAATATCGGCACTTTTTATACTATATTTAATTGTCGGTTTATTTAATATCTATTGGCACCAATGGTGTTGAAGAAATTCGTTTGTATTTTTGCACAGAAATTTTAAATAAACTCATGTGGGTGACAATTTGAAGTATTTTCAAAGTTTTCACCTGCTTTACCTGAAACGGAGGATAAGAAAGTAAGGGATAACACATGTACGGATATATTGGCACTGGAACGTTTAATTCTGTTTCTCTTGTTAACTTTCGAACGAATTTTACTAATTCAAGGAAGTGTGAATATTCCTAGTGTTCCTAGCGAATTCCCGGTTTAATTGATCAGGTCATCCCATACGAAAGGAGTTAACACATTTATGAAAGATGTGGCCCGCTTACAAGAACTAGTATTCCAACAAGGCACCCTGGTCATCTATCTTCCTGTGGTATATATTATATGCATATATATCTATATATATATATATATGTATATATATGTAGAATAAACTGTAGAAGACTTCCTCCTGTTTAAAGCAATGCTTTAGAGAATAAATTTATGCAATGAATTGTTTCTACGATACTAAAATGAGGTAGAGTGTCATCGTTTGCAGCCTCCAAAGTTTTCCATTTTTCTTTGTGTGCGTTTTGCTCGCTTTGGAATTACTCGATGATAAGAAGATAGTTTACAGTTTATTTTTGAATATAGAAAATGAAATTAAAAAATAAGAAATAAACTGTTCCCCCTTCAACCCCGAGCACTTTTTCATGCTTTTACCAAACATGCCAGTCTATGTTTCCGTACTTATCGAGTCAATATTTATAGCGTATCGTTGCATGCAAATGAATGCGAAAATATAAATTGCAACTGTAAAGGAATAAATGAACCTAATTGTAAATGAACGAATGCGAACCAGTCAAGAAAGAAATACAAACATTGGCCTCAACTGCATATGGGGATATTTGCAGGTAGTTTAATCTACCACTTTTAATACTTGCTCCATATATACCAATATAAATAGCAGACAACAAGCTCCTAGTGTCGCCCAGAAGAGTGCCAGTGGTCTGGTGTGCGGGCTTCAAACCCGCAGCTGATGAGTATCAGAGTGGTTCGATTCCACCTTCTGGGCTGAGGGAATCATGGTTGTGATAAACGGATGTTATACGTTTTCCAGGACTGTGATTACCTTTTAAGTTATTTTGAAACAATGCTCGCTTAATTTCATTTCAAACATTTTATTACTGATCTTTGCAGTACACTTAATTATATTAATTATTTTTGTCTTAAAATATTGTTTGATTTAGCTACCAAGATAAATTACAAAACATTTTTAAATGCAATGATTGGGCCTTTAATGCTCTTTTGGAATATCGGCACTTTGTACTAAATTTAATTATTATCCGACTATTTAATATCTATTTGTAGCTACGCAGAAGACTTAATTTTACTAATGGGTTTGAAGGAATGCAATTCTGTATTTGTACAGTAATTTAAGAAATAAACTCACATGGGCGACAAAGTGAAGTATCTGCATGTGACAATGTGAAGAACATGACGGTAATGTATGTACGGATATATCAACATTGGAATTTTCAATTAGGTTTCTCTTGTCACCTTTCGAACAAATTTTCCAATTCGAGGAATTGTGAATATTCCCTAGGGTTCCTAGGGAATTCCCAGGGTTTAACGATCAGGTCATCTCTTTAGTTATCGAAAAGCTTTACCCACTCATTCCACGAAATAGTCACATCACTATAGACACTAAAATTGATATTTATAGGGTCTACATGCGTCCTATTATTATATATGCTAGTCAAATATGGGGATCCGCCAACAATCTAAATTTTGTAGAACAAGATCTTGAGCATGACAGTTGATGGTACATACGAAATAATGACATTTCGGCTGATTTGGAACATTACTACGCTAAGAATTTTATTCACAAATTAGAACACGTTTTTATAATAACACTCCCTACAATCCAAATCCCTTTAGTTAAAAGATTACCTGAATATGACATAACCAACAATAGAAGTCCGCGCACCTCTCTGAACATACTAAATAAATAAATGTTTTATTCAGCTCTCTCTATGTGGTCATTTTATTCTATATTTCGTTTTTAATTCATTCACTGAGCAAGCCATTTCTCTTATCATTTGCCCTCAAAGGAACCATCAAGATAGAGGCATATGAAGGTTAACCCTGCCAAAATGCCTCAATAATGTCAAACTGTCTGTCTGTCGTTTAAAGGTTTTCTCTTCATAAAACATTATGATACAGATGGCCGATGGCGAATTGGGCAGCGCTGTGGCCTTTGGTGCTCTAGATTCAAATCCTGGCTGTGTCATGGATGTTTGTTAGTGGTTTTAATCTACTTTAAACTGCTGGTCCCGGTCTCATTAGCCTAAAATGTGCACAAAAAGGACCGTAGGGCGATAAACCAAACCAAACGACGCGATATCTCTCATCTAGTTACACGTTACTACAGGATACTGCGGTACTCGATTTGTGTATTCTTGCCATGAGGAATTCCCAAGGTTCACCATGGGCTGTCCAGAGGGCTTATTGTTTTTCATGACCAAATGAGATAGACGTCAATAATGACATCATCTACAGTTGGTGACACTTGGTGGTAGTTTAATCTACCATTTTCCACAATTCCTACAGAAATACCAATATAAATACCAGACAGCAAATTTCTCATGTCACCCACTGACACTTAAACTTAAGGGCAATATCAACCGATGCCGTACTTTACACTTGGAAATGCCCTAACATTACTACCTATAATTATCCTACTTCAAGGTCAAATTACGCAAAATACCTTGAAGTCATATTCGAGAAATGCCTTACATATCACTAGTATATTAATCATATTAAGAATAAATTTAATTTAGTTATCGAAAAGCTATACCAGATAGACGCTAACGGCTGTAGCGCAGCCACGGAGCTTCACCAAAACTCAAATCATCATAAAAACTATACCCACTCATTGCTCGAAATAGTCTCACAACCATAGGCGTCCCGGTCTGTAACGAAACTGTAAATGAAATTACTCTATCACTTTTAACGTTTGCTTCAGAAATGTCAGTAAAAATTTCATATACACAACTTCTAGTGCCGACCAGATGAGAGCCAGTGGTCTGGTGTGCAAGCTTCAAACCCGTAGCTGATGAGAATCAGAGTGGTTCGATTCCACCTTATGGGCGAGCGAAGTTGTACAGCAATGTTAGAAATAAATTCATATTCACGACAATCTGAAGTATATAGACACTGGAACATTTAGTTCGGTCTCTCTTGTGAATTTTCGATAGAATTTTGAATTGTGAATATTACGTAGGGTTCCTAGGAATATACCCCGGTGTGTTAATGGATCAGGTCACTTAATAAGACAGGAGTTAACAAATTTATGAAAATCGTGGTCCGCTAAGGAGAACTAGTAATTTGTCATCGTCTAGTAATCTATCTGTCTGTGGTATCTTATTAAATATATATACAGGATTAAACTATACGGGATTTCACCCTGTTTAAAACTATGCAATGCAGAATAAATTTATGCATGAATTTTTTGCTACGATACTTCTGAAAAGTGAAGCAGAGTGTCCTCGTTTGCAGCCTCCAAAGTTTTCCATTTTTCGTTGTGTACGTTTTGTAATGGAATTACGGGATGATAAGTCGATAGTTTACAGTTTATTTTTGAATAAAGAACAAATGAAATTAAAAGTTAAAAAAATAAACTTTTATCCATTCCCCAACGAGCAGTTATTCATGCTTTTACCCAACATGATAATCTATGTTTCCGCACATAAAGAGTGAATATTTATAGCGTTGTTGTTACACGCGAAAGAATGCAAAAAATAAATTGTAACTGTAAATGAATAAATAAACGAATTCGAAATACGAATGACTCAAGCAAGAAATGCGAATAATGGCAACAATTGCATATGCGGCTATTTGCAGGTAGTTTACCACTTTTACCACTTGCTTCTGAAATACCAGTATAAATACCAGACAACAAGCTTCTAGATAGTTTCTAGTGCCAGTGGTCTGGTGTGCGGCCTTCAAACCCGTAGCAGATGAGAGTCTGAGTGCTTCGATTTCACCTTCTGGGCGTGGGAATCATGGTGATGCTGAACGGCTGCTGTGAGTTTAACAACCTATGAGTTCCTTTTAATCTATTTTGAAACAGTGCTTGCTGTTGTCCTTTAAATAATTACAATCAGTTTTTTTTTTATTCAAAAATATTTTTTGATTTCGCTACCAAGCTATATTACAAAACATATATAACTATTATATATATATATATATATATATACATATATAACTCTTATATATATATATATATATAACTCTTATATATATATATATATATATATATATATATATAATATATATATATATATAACTATATATATATATATATATAACTATTATATATATATATATATATATACATACACATGGAGACGCTCAAATCAGAGTGGTTCGATTCCACCATGGCGGTGGTGAAAGGAAGTTGGGAGTTTTATGGCGCTATGAGCTCCTTTTTAAGCTATTTTGAAATAATGGCCGCTTAAATTGATTTGGAATATTTTGTTACTTATCTACGAAGTACACTTGTTTATGCTGAATACTTTTAACTGTTGTCCTTTAAATAATTATGTTAAGTATTTTTCACTGAAAAAAATTGTTTGATTACGCTACCTAGCTATATTACGAAACATAGATAACTATTATATATATATATATACACTTGAAAACTCGTGTGAAGGTTTTTTATTCATAATACGTTATGGTATAGATGTCTGATGGCCAATTGGAGTGCCCTGGTCTTTGGTGCTTCAGGTTCAAATACTGGTGAAGGCATGGATGATTGCCTGTGATTCAAATTTCATGTTAAACTGTAGGTCCCGGTCTGATTCGACTAAAGTGTGCACAAAAATGTGTGGACTAATTTTTGGGTATTCTTGCCATGAGGAATTTCCAAGGCACACCATTCTGGGTTTTCCAGTGGACTTATTGATCTTTTATGACCAAATGACATTGAGGCCAGTAAAGGCATCAACTGCAAATGGTGATAATTTCTGTTAGTCCAATCTACCATTTGTGACACTTACAGAAATACGAGTATAAATACCAGACAACCAACTTCTAACGTTGCCCAGATGAGCTCCAGTGGTCTGGTGTGTGGGCTTCAAACATGGTTTGGTTTGTCGCTCTACTGTCATCTTGTGCACACTTTAGGCAAACAGACCGTGACCTACAGTTTAAAGTGGATTCCGAACCACCAAGAAACATCCATGTCACCGCGAAGATATGAACCTGAAGACTTCGGCTAGACACGGTGCTAGAGGCTAGAGTGCTATCCAGTTGGCCATCAGGTCGCTGTCCCGCTTAGGAGAACTAGTATTCTCCGAAAGCATCCTAGTCATCTATCTGTCTGTGGGGCATTATTATATATATATACACTACGTAAAAAGTAGAAGGACACTTGATTTTGTAACAATAACCGAAAAATATTTTATTTTTACTAAAAATTTTTATTAGAAACATTTTACAAATAGTTTAAAAATACAATTTTAACATCAGAATTATGATATTCAAACATAAAATATTAATGGCAACAAAAATAGTTTCTCTTTTGAAACTTTGTAAAAAAAGTAGAAGGACAGCATTATAATGAATGAAAAATAGTGATTTTAATAAGGAATGTTCTTCCCATTGGCCTTTATAACTTCAAATATTCTGTTTGGAAGTGAATTGTATAGAGATTGTTTGAACTTCTGTTTGACAAAAATTGTCCCACGAGTCATTCAATGCTTCTCGAAGCTGAGTTAGCGAATCAAATTGCCTTCCATCAGCATAAACTCGACGAACTAGCATTGCCCAGATGTTTTCCACTATATTAAGGTCAGGACTTTTGGCTGGCCATGGTAAAACATCCACATTATTTGTTAGGAACCAATTTTTGGCTCCAGTCGCGGTGTGAATGGAAGCTCCGTCTTGCTGAAACTTCCACTCTTCACCCCCCAAGTCAGAGCCATAAGGAAGAAGCTCGGAATTAAGCACTTGAATGTAGTCTGAATTTTTTGCCTACCATTTAAGAAAACTAGACTTGTCCTTCCTCCGTATCCAACAGCCAACCAAACCATTAAACTCCCTCCTCCCATTTGTCGTGTTGAATAGTATTCGTCTTCATTCCGCAGACAATGCCAGTAGTGCTGATATCCGTCTGGACCGTCTAAGTTAAATTTGTTTTCATCGGAAAATATCACAGAAGTCCATTCTGTAGTCCAGGACATGTGCTCCTTAGCCCACGCTAAACGGTTATCAATGTGAGCTTGTGTCCACTTAGGATGATGTTTCCGTTTTTTGAAAATGAATTTTTTAGATCTTTTAATATAGTTGTAAACTGTTTGTTTCGTCACATGATTAAGTCCTGCTTGATTTCTTTCCTTTGAAACACTTCCTTTGTTCTTCTTAAGCACACGAAAAACTTTTCTTTCATCACGTGGTGTTAACTTTTTCGGTCTACCAGTCTTCTTTCCATTTTTATAAGGATTTCTGATAAAGTTTAAAACTGTATTGGGGCTCACCTGCAACAATCGAGCAATCTCTCTGACACCTTTACCATCATTTTGATATGCGTAAATTTGGCCTTTTTGAAAATCGTTCAAAGGTATTCCCTTAGGCATTTCTGAGAACGGAGAAACAGCGCAACTTTTAAACAAATTAGATTTTTTTGACAGAAAAGGATAAAACAAAGTACAAAATCACTATTTAACTAATGAACAGCTCATTAAATTAAACATATTAGCAAGTGTCCTTCTACTTTTTTTACTCATCGGAAATTATATATATTAATTTTATTATTAATATTAGTGGTAGATGTTAATTTTTGCCTAAAATGAAAAAAAAGGGTCATTAAACTAAATATGCATAAATATCTGGTAGTTAGGGAGAAAATAAGAGATATTAATTGGCAAAAACACTGTCCTTCTATTTTTTTATGCCGTGTATATGCATGATCATTCAAAATAAGGTGTCGAAAATAAGAGGCGAATCAGGCATTCTAAAAGTATCAACAGCACATAGAAACTTAGTGTCGAAAGCGCTACATCGTGCCAGTAGACGGGGGTTCAAATTATGCTAATACAATGAAAAACAAACAAAATTCATTCGAAATCATTTTATTCATATTTTATTTCAGCCCATGTTATATATTTACGCCCAATGCCTAAAGCAAACACCATATGCCTGGAGACAACCAATACATTAACGCAGCATAGAATGGCTCAAATCTTGCTGCCACAACAATTCTACCTAACACATCTTATTGCGATGAAACAGGTGTTCCGTAAATAAGCTCTAATTTCGTAAATAAAAACTCAAACAGAAAATCAGCATAAGAAAATCTGGTGATTGCTGTAGTTATGCCATTGGTTCACCTCGATCAATCCAACGCACGGGAAAGATGGCCGCAACAAAAGGATGGCGCACCTTCTTAAAAATAACAATTGTATCTCGAACATATCCTGCTTGCTCCTTTTTCCTGCTAATTATTCCTGCAAAGAAACAGGTGTTTCGTAAATAAGTACTAAATTCATAATAAAAAGACAATATAAGGAAAATCTATATGAGACTAATCTGGTGATCGCGGTAGCCAAGTGATAGATCCTCCTCGATAATTCTAATAAACTTGAAAGATAGAATGCCTGTTTCCTTTTTTCCAGTTCGCTTATGATACATCAAAACTTTTAGTAGGGAAATCAAACAGAATTTAGGGCAGAAAAACGTGTTATAATTTTTTATACAACGAACGCTGTATATAGAAAGGTATTGTATTTGTCTCAAGGAAACTAATATTTCCATACCTGCCGACTAAATAATTAGCCGTTAATAAATAATTAAGCTATAGTATGCGAAATGACTCAACTGCATATGTTGATATTTGCAAATAGTTTAATCTACCACTTTTAACACTTACTACAGAAATACCAGTATAAATACCCGACAACGAACTTCTAGTGTCGTCCAGATGAGCGCCGGTGGTCTGGTACGAATTTCAAAACCCGTGGCTGATGAGAATCAGAGTGGTTCGATTCCACCTTCTGGGCGAGGGAGTCATGGTGATATTAAACACATACCGTGTGTTTAAGGCCTATGAGTACCTTTTAGTTTATTTTGAAACAATGCTCGCTAAAATTCATTTATATCCTTTTATTACTTTTTCATCGTCGCACACTAGATTATGCTGAATACTTTTTAATTTGGGCTTTTAAATGCACTGACTTAATTTGTTAATCTTCGTTAATTGACTAATATTTAATGCGTGAAATGAGTGAAGGAAGAACTACCACTAATGGAAACCACTGCAAATATTGGTTCTTGCTGGCAGTTTAATCTATCAATTTTGACACTTGCTACACAAATACTAGTACAAATACCACACAACAAGCATATAATGTCCCCCAGATGAGCGCCAGTGGTCTGGTGTGCGGGCTTCAAACCCGTAGCTGATGAGAACCTGAGTGGTTCGATTCCACCTTCTGGGCGAGGAAGGCATGGTTGTATTAATCTGAACTTGACAGGTGAATACTACCATGCGTTTCTTTTAAGCTATTTTAAAGCACTGGTCTCTTAAAATTATTTGGAACTTTTTACAACTTTCCCTCGTTGTAAACTTCTTATGCTGAATATTTTTTTGATTTTCCTATCAAGATTTATTACAAAACATACACCTCTCTTATATATATATATATATAGAAAAACTCGTGTAAAGTTTTTTGCATTTGTCATTATGAAACGTTATGATAGGAGCACAAAAGAACTTAGAAAAAGCAAAGGTTCAGTGCATCTTGAGTAAAGTCGTTGGTCTTGATTTTTAATGCCAAATTTAATCCTCATTAAAAATATTCATTAAACTCAATGGTATATGGAGGATTGCTCAAGATTGATTGATTGGGTTTGATTTGATTTGATTTGTTTTGCCTCTCTACAGTCATTTTAGGCACACTTTAGGCTAATTAGACTGGAGCCTGCAGCTTAACGTGGATTCCTGGCCGCTGACAAACATCCAAGCTACCCTTCAGGATTCGAAGTCTGTGGTAACGCTAGAAGAGGAGTGAACTTGTTTTTGTTGAGCTATGATGACATTCTTGTTTTTTTATTTCGTTTTCTTATCAAAAGATTACAGTATTACTGCTCATATCCGCAATGCGATATACCCCATCTTCCTGCATGACACTACATTCTCTATAGGTCTTACAATGTATTCAATATATTTTTAAGTGGCCAGCACAGGAAAAAAAAAAATAATGGGAAATTTTTCATTTAAACGCAATTATGTTAATGAAATTAAAAAAACTATAATTTCATAGAAAGGTTTAAAAGGTAAATATTGATTTTAGATCTCTTTATTTCTGTTTGTTGGTTAGTGATCACCTTTTATCTTATTCTTCTTCATTGACGAAACAGCCCAGGGTGAGCCAAGGATGCTTGCCTACTGGCAGATTTCGAGACATTAATTTTTTTTTTTTTCTTTATAGGGTAGGGTCGTCAGCCCTTAGCCTGACACTCTACTGTAATTTGAGTTCGGGAACTGCAGTTTAAAGTGGATTCCGAACGATTATACTAAAAATCGATGGCACTTTCGAGATCGAACCCGAAAACTGTGGCACTGAGCACATAGAGCTAGTTGGTTACATTTTATCATCATATCTTTTTTTATTTGTAATGTGTCATGGACTAAAAATTAATATGCTTTAATACAAATAACCAAACAATATTTAAAACTTCATTTAGATATCAGTTTCAAATTATTCTCATTTGTATCGATTTTTGTAATTTTAATTTATTTTCTAAAACAGTGTAATAGAATGCATTTCTCTTTTTTATGCCATTTTGCACAGGTTATGACGCAATTCTTGTTATTGAAATCAAACAACGTTTAGAACTGAAAACGTGTTATAATTTTTTTTATGGAACAGATGTTCGATTACATTTATTGCAAATTTATTTAAATACTATACGTATTCAATAATTATTCCTTAATTATTAATTTATCTTACCACATGAAATGACACAATAAAGAAATATTAGTAATGGCAACAACTAATGGAGATACTTGCAAGTGCACTTGCTTGTTGATATTCAAGTAGTTTAATCTACCACTTTTAATACTTGCCACAGAAATGCTCGTATAAGTACCAGACAATCTACTTCTAGTGTCGCCCAGATGAGCGCCAGTGGTCTAGTGTGCGGACTTCAACCCCGTAGCTGATGAGAATCTGAGTGGTTCCATTCTTCCTTCTGTGCGAGGGAGTCATGGGGATATTCAACAACTGTTACGTGTTTTATTCACCATGAACTCTCTTTTAACCTACTTTGTAATAATGACCGCTAAAATTCATTTGGAACGTTTTATTAATTTCTTCGTTGTACATTTGTTTATGCTGAATACATTTAACTATTGTTCTTTAAATAATTAAAATAAGTATTTTTCCCTCATAAAGATAAATTACAAAAACATAGACCTTATACTCTCTCTCATATATATATAGAGAGATATATATATGAGACACATGGGTAGATATATATGTATGTATATATATCTACCCATGTGTTCCTTTTAATCTGTTTTGAAACAAAGCTCACTAAAATTTACTTGGGATCTTATATTACATTTTTTCTTAGTACACTTGTTTATATAATGAAGACTTTCTTATGTACTGAATATGCATTTGTTCTTTTACACTGAATACTTTTTTTAACAATTGTCCTTTAAATACATAAAATAATAATAACTTTTCACTCATAAAAATTGTTTATTTTCGCTACCAAGATAAATTACAAAACATAGATCCCTATTCTATATATATATATATCTGCATCTGAAAACTCGCGGGAAGATTTCTCTTCATAAAATTTTATGATATAGAATTCTGATCGCCAATTGCACAGCAGTCTGACCTTTGATACTGTCGATGGCATGTATGTTTGTTAGTAGTTTGAATCCACTTTTTAACCTGTAGGTCCGGGTCTGATTAGTATATTGTGTGCACAAAAATGATCATAGAGCTGTATATGTTAATATTTGCTAGTAGTTTAATCTACCACTTTTAACACTTCCTACAGAAATACCAGCATAAATACCAGACAACATAGTTATAGTATCTCCCATATGAGCGCTAGTGGTCTGGTGTGCGGTCTTCAAACCCGTAGCAGATGAGAGTCTGATATTCCACCTTCGATTCCACCTTCTGGGCGAGGGAGACATGGCGATGTTGAACACATGTTGTGAGTTAAATGTACCTAGGTTTCCCTTTTATTCTATTTTGTAACAATGCTGGCTTTAAATCATTTGGAACGTTTTAATACCTTTCTTCAGAGTACAGTTGTTTATGCTGAATATTTTAACTGTTGTCCTTTAAATAATTATAATCAGTATTTTTCACTGCATTAGCTTCCGAGATATATTATAAAAATGTAGATCCCTATTATATATATATACATATGAAAAGTCGTGTAAAGTTTTCTTCATAATACTTAATGATATTGAAATCGGTTGCCCAATTTTAGAGCTCTCTGGACTTTGGTACTTCACGTTAAAATCCTGTCGGCGGCATGTATGTTTGTTAGTTGTTCGGAATCCACTTTAAACTGTAGGTCCTGGTCTGATTAGCCTCAAGTGTGCACAAAAATGTCCATAGAGAGACAAACCAAACCAAGCATCACGTTTCCCTCATCCCCCTACACGGCACTACAGGATGCTGTGGCACTCATTTTGGGTATTCTTGGTGCTCCGTTTTGGTGAAATTCCCGAGGCCCACACCATGGGTTGTCCATGGGTTTACTGATCTTTATCACTTGCATATAGTTTAATAGAATTGTATTTCAATTTTTCAGTTTGGAATTCGCAAAAAAAAAGTTTATCCGTCGTATTTTACTTCATTGGCGTAACAGCCCCATTGCTGGCCAAGGATCAAGAAATATTTCTATTAATTGAAATTTATTTAGTTCGTAAGTCAAAAAATGATGAAAGGAAATGTAAAAACATGTAAGTGGACTTCTTATGAATATGAACGATGTAATAAATTTCTACCATTTTTTTTTTTTTTTACTTGTTTTTTGCAGTAGATAACGTTGAAGCATAACGTGCTCTTCAACGTTAAAGAAGAAAATAATAATAAAAAAACAACAACCTTCAAGAAGGTAATAATAATAAAAAACAACAGAAAATTAAAATTAATAGATACCATAATTCCTTGAAAGAAAGTTTAAAATATTTTGATATATACTTGGACAGCACCTCACATGGAAAAAAGCATTTCGAATATACTTAAAAAAAAAAAAAAAAATTGCGCTTGAATTTTAGAAAACACTTTCCTCTTATCAGTAGACTCTCTAGCATGAACAGGAACAATATTATTTTGTCTAAGCCATTCTACGATTCTATAATGACCTACGCATGTCCAGTCTGGTTTTATGGATCTTAAAGTCTTCCTTAAGCCCGTTTTGAAAAATTTTCATTTTTACTGATGACCACGGGAACTCTGCAATCCAGGAAATTAAAGTTTATGATCCTAATAATAATATTTATAGGCCGAAGAATATTTTAATTTAGTATTTTTTCAATCATTCTGAGTAATATACCTCCTAGTCAACTGTTTATATCCAGTTCTACCGGAGATGAGGTCCCTGGAGGCTAGAAACTCCAGGAATCCAAACACCAACAAATCAAAATATTTTACATTCTGTAAATTTTAAGATATCCATTAACATTAATTTTAACATTATATTAAATTTTAAGATATGCATAAACATTATATTAAAATGTGCATACATTGCTTGCAACATTAAAAATGTAAGAACAAATTTAGAAATATCACACATGAGAAACAATGTGAGCACCAATTGCGTGGAAAGTTGGAAAACTCCTAATCGGCCAAATTGAAAAAGATGGGCGTAATAGGACAGAAAGGTATTTTCAGAAGGGATATGAGATTTGTTCAATATAAAAATTAAAAACCTTTTTCAGTTCTAATTGTTGTTTAATTTCGTGACCATGATTTCTAACCTAGCATATGAAAAATTTGGAAAACAGAGACATATATTTCTTTTACCCTGAGGTAAAAATATTAGCAAAATTAATGTTTTATACTTTATTTACAGCAATATTTACTTGGAATGAGAAGCAAGAGGTCATAATTATAAGTAATAAAACAAAACTGCTCTGAAGAGTGATAAATACATTGAAATGTTTATGTATAACAAAATTTATATTTTGATCAATATAGTTCTTACAATGTATTCAATCTATAATTACAGCGAATTTTAATACAATTATGGTTATGAAACAATAAAAACTACAATTTCATAGGATCGTTTAAAATATAAATATTGGTTTTAGATTTCCTTACTTCTCTTTGTTGGGTAGCGATTACCCTTAATCTTCTTCTTTTCAATGACGCAGCAGCCCATGCTGGGCAAAGGCCATCTCCATACTGGCCGATTTCGAGACAGGTTTCTTTTTACATTGTAGGGTTTTCAGCCCTACGCCTAAAACTCTACTCGTAAAATCAGACCGGGATCTACTATTTAAAGTGGATTCGCAATCATTACGATCATCCATGGCATCGCTAGTTCTCGAACACGAAACATGTTGCACGGAGAATAGAGAGCAAGTTGATTACATTTTACCAATCATATCTTTTTATTTCTAATGTGTCATGTACTAGGGATTTAAATATGCTTTAATATACATAGCGAAGGCAATATTTAAAATCTCATTTAGATATTTCATTTCAAAACTTCATTTAAGTTCAAAATTATACTTTATTTGTATCGATTTTTGTAATTTTATTTTATTTTCTAAAACAGTGTAATAGAATGCAAGTCTTTTTTATATCATTTTGCATATGTTATGAGACAATTCTTGGTATAGAAATCAAACATCATTTAGAACTGAAAAATGTGTTGTAATTTGTTATGGAACGGATGTTATATTATATTTATTGTAATGAAAAGCGTGTTTCAATAACCACCGATTGAATAATTAATTATCTTAACACATGAAGTGACCCAAGAAAAGAAAGCCACTAATGGCTTCCACTACAAATTGAGATTCCTGCAGGGAGTTTAATCTACCACTTTTAATACTTGCTTCAGAAATGTCAGTATATATACCAGACAACCGACTTCTAGTGTCGCCCAGATGAGTACCAGTGGCCTGGTGTGCGGGCTACACACCTGTTGCTGATGAGTATCAGAGTGGTTCGATTCCACCTTCTGGGCGAGGGAGTCATGGCGATATTGAACACATGTTGTGTGTTTGCATTACATGAGTACCTTTTAATCTGTTTTGAAACAATGTTTGCTTCAATTTATTTTGAACCTTTTATTACTTTTCCTCGCAGTACACTTGTTTATGCTGAATACTTTTTATTTGTTCTCCTTCAAATAATTATAATAAATATTTTTCACACATAAAAATTGTTTGATTTTTGCTACCAAGATATATTACAAGACCCGTAATCACTGTCTCTCTCTATATATATATCCACACTTAAAAACTTGTGTGAAGATTTTTTTCTTCATAAAACGTTATAATATAAATGCCTGATGGCCAATGGGACAGTGGTCTGGCCTTTGGTACTTTAGGTTTTAGGTTCAAATCCTGATTACATGTGGCATGTATGTTTATTAGGGGTTTGGAATAGTCTTATAAACTATATAAGACTGAAAAAAATGAATAAAGGAAATGTAAAAACATCGAAATGGACTTCTTATGAATAGGAACGATGTAAAAGTTCCTACAATTTTTGTTTACTTTTCTTATAATAAATAACGTTCATACATAACATCCTCTTCCAGTAGGTAATAAAAATTAAAAACAACACAAAATTAAAATAATATATACCACAATACCTTCGAGAGATAGTTCAAAATATTTAGTTATTTACTTAGACAGCACCTCAAATGGTAAAAGCATTTCGAGTATACTGAAAACAAATTCCATGTGAATTTTAGAAAAACACTTTCCTCCTATTAGTAGACTCTCTAGCATGAACATGAACAATAAAATTATTTTCTTCTACATCTGTTCTACGATTCTATAATGTTCTACGCATGTCCAGTCTGTTCTTATGCCGCTTAAAGACTTCCTTAAGCACGATTTGGAAAATTTGAAATTTCTCAATTCTGTTGATAACCATGGAAACTCCGCAATCCAGGGAAATGATCCTAATAATAATATTTAAAGACTTAATAATATTTTTATTTAATATTTTTTCAATCATTCTGAGTAATTTACCTCCTAGTCAATTGCTTATATCTTGTTCTGCTAGAAATGAGGTCCCTCGAGGCTAGAAAGTTCCAGGAATATAAAAATCAACCAACCAAAATATTTTAAATCCTGTATATTTTAAAACATGCATTAACAAAGGATTACATTAAAAAGTGCATACATTGTGTGTGACATTAAAGTGTTGGAGAAATTTTAGAAACGTTGCACATGAGAAACAATTTGACCACCAATTGCGTGGAAAGTTGGCAAGCGCCTAAATCTATCAAATTGATAAAGATTGGCGTAGTAGGCGAGAAAGATATTTTCAGAAAGGATATGAGATTTGTTCAATATAAAAACTAAAACCTTTTTCAGTTCTAATTGTATTTTGATTTTGGCCATCATGAATTCTAATCAAACATATGAAAATTTAAAAATGACAGACATCCATTTCTTTTGTTTTAAATAAAAAAAAATAAAAATATCAATCAAAATGAATGCTTCATATTTTTTTTTTTCAGTAATATTTACCTAAAATAAGATGTAAGAAGTCAAGATTGTAAGTAATAAAACATAATTGCTTTTAGTAATGAGAAATACATTTTATATTTATGTATAACAAAATTTATGTATTTTCTTCAATATTGTTCGTAGGTTGTATTCAACATATTTTTAAAGTGACCAGCTTTTATAAAAGTAATGGAATTTTTTTTTTAAAACAATTATGTTTAAATGATTTTTTTAAACATAATTGTTTTTAATAATTTGGTATTGAATAATAATTTTGAAAAAAATTACAATTTCCAAATTATTGTTAAAATATAAATATTGGTTTTAGATTTCTTTACTTCTCTTTGTTGGGTTGCGATGACCTTTTATCTCCTTCTTCTTCACTGGTGCAGAAGCCCAGGGTGGGCCAAGGTCGTCTGCCTAGAGACAGATTTCGGGACATAAGATGTTTTCTTTTTTACTGTGTTGTGCT